TTGGATATTAAAATAAGTTAATTTGTATCCAAAATGCAAAATTAATTAATCTTTTATTGTCAGATTACTTAATTCCTACGTTTGGTTGATATAAGACTGCAATCATAAGCTCTTATACCTGTTTGATGTAGAAATCAAAATTTCGACTTCCTACTGCAGCTAATATAAAGCAAAGTATGCTTTCAAACATAACTAAATTAAGGATTCAAAAACCAACAGCCTCAAAAAAATCAAATAACTCCTCGTCTTATCCAAAAATTTGAATAGGGATTTGGAGAAGAACATATCAAGTGAGCAAACAAATTATATTTAACAAAAATTTCTAATGCATCACTTTCTAACTAAAACCGAGAACACTAAATTAGCAAATAACCAATTATATATATAAAAAAAAACTAGAAAAGTAATGAATTTTCTTTAGTAGAGAATAGCTAGACCTCACGTCAGTACAAGTAGAGTTTCCCTGAAATTAGGTAGTCACACGTGTATCACACTTGAAAGAATCACAGATTATACTTGCACTAGGTAATTGTCGGTCGCAAAATCAGAAATTGTCGGACGCCGGAATGGATATCCCGACGCCCGATTTTAAAATATGTTTAATTAATTTAGATATATAATTTAGAAAAAATAATATTTTAATTTTTGAAAATACAAGACCGAATCGATCTCATATCTGCAATAGTTTAAATGATCGAGCACAACCACAAGCAATATATCTACCTCGAAGGATAGATACACAACTTGTTTGTGATGCTTGATTAAATAAACTAAAGAATTTATGACATCCGTTTTAGCCTGAGAACCTTTTATTTTAACCGACAAGTTCTCCTAACTAATATAAAAAATTAGATAGGATTTATATTACCTGGGTTCTTAAAGCTCTCTATAGAGGTAAGCCCCTATAATTAATTACCTCTCAAACGACTGAAGTCACTTAAAAAAACTCTCGATGATGATCAGAGGTATCTATCTTCATGAATTCAAAGTTTAGGGTTTCCAAGGTTAGACACAGAAAAGTCAAGTGGAGAAAGGGACCAAATGGGAACATTTATTTTTGGAGTCAAAGGAAAGAAAAGTAGGGAGTGTCACGGATCCTAAGGAAAACCTCGATGACTTTCCAAACTATCCTATTGTTTGGTTTCAATTTTGAAAAAATGTTATTTGATGTTTCATTCTGTCAATTTTATTATTTAGGACTTATATTTGCATGGTACAGTCATACAAATAACCTAGAAGATATGAGGGTTTACGTCGTATCGGACGACAACCTCAGAACCTAAAGCAAGTTATGACTTAAATTGCACAACCCGACTGTGCAAAAGCAGACTACCTCGAAGTTTTATGGTTTGTCATTTAAACTAAAGAAAGATATGCCGTTGTAGATCGCCATCCTCCACCTACTGCATCTCCGTCGTGTTGCCCATGAAGACTTGCTCCAAGCTCTAAATTGTAGAGACTCCAAATTTAGTTTATGTGTTGTATTTGCAAAATATAATTATTGTTGGGTCTCAACGGCCCGGTGTACCTCCTAACATATGTCTTACTGTTTTCAACCTAAGAAGTTTAGCAAGTGTCTTAAAGTAAATAATGCAATAAAAAGAATGGCAAATTGCAGGAAACTTAAACAAATTGCTCGAAAGTCTGGTATAAAAAAAAAATGAGCAAAACAAAACTTATATGTGACATTAGGAATGTCCCCAATTGCTAGGAGGAGTGTAAGGCTAAAGCTCAAATCCCAGAGCATTGAGTTTCACTGTAGGTTAAGTCATTGAGGGAATTTCCCTACTTGATTTAATTAAAAGGAATTTATGAACCACATCTTCTTGTATCCTTATGTTTAGTGTTTTAATCGACTTGTGGAATGAGGTTAAATGCTAAATTTATCATTCATTTGAAAATTAGGTAGAGGAACCCTCACCTATAGTGTGCTTCTAAAGTCTAAGAAGCATATGTCTCTAACCTGTGCTTGAAGTGATTTAAGGTGTTTTGCTTTCAATGAAGTGTTTTCTAACTAATCCTCAAATATTTTTTAAGTGTTTTCCAAATAATTAAATCAGAAATCTCCATTTTTGACTTAACCATTATAATAAAAACAAATCAACGTAGAAGGAGGCCGACCCACTTCTAAAAAGAAATCAACAAAGCAGAGGGGCAAAATCCCAAGTAAATCAGCCTAAGAGCATTTAAATTCTTTCAAAATAATGATCAAATCAACCCCCAAAAGGTGTTTAAAAGCCTCCAAAAATCAACACTTAAAGTGCCCAAATCAATGTATAAAGCCTCCAAAAAACTTGGCAAATTGACACAAACAGAGAGCAGAAAACAACCATGAAATGTGGTCAAAGCCGCAGTACAAACGGGACACCAAATAGCTTCAAACATTCCCAAAATCGCGGCGAGGCAAGATGTCATTTCCAAATTCAGCTTATAAGAACAAGTGAACTACTGACAACATTTCTCAAAAAGCTAAAAGATAAACTAGCTGTTGTTTTAATAATATCAGTTAAACCAGTGAACTAAGCACTAATTAAATTTCAGAATACATTACAATTCTTCATTTCCACCGAAACAAATTATTCACAGGTAGGTTCTTTGGATAAATATTCCTTTGCAAGCAGTTCTTATCATCAAAGTTCCCCTAAGCTAATTCAAAAGATATGAACAGCAAAAGGCAAAGTAATTAAGTATTACAAGGACTTGCTAATCCTGAAAATCCTCCATAACCAAATATCAAAATTCTTCCCATGTGAGTTGTACGATAAGAAAATCTGAAACAAATTTAAATCCCAAACAAATTTAAATCCCACATACATGTGTAAGCATTAAAGTGGCATATATGTAAGATCTCCTGAATATTCACACTTATACATCAATTTTTACATTTATGCCACAAAAATCTTTTATGTGTATATACCGTCCAAATCTTTCATATTGCAAAAGAAATAATACCATTTCAGCATAGGGTAGAGGGTGGCACATATATTAGAATTATAAGCATTGGATGGCAGGTACGTAAATATAAAAGCATATATGTTACACACGTAAAGGATTGTGTGGTATGTATGTAAATTTCCCACTTCCCTTTTTATGGAATGCATGAGGGATCCAGTAATTACACTTAGTCCAATCAACTCATTGAAAGACCTTGGCAGAAATTTACGGCTCAAGCGTTGGCAATCTTCTGGAATTCAAACTATATCTCTATCAGCCCTATCCCTCCATTCGACAGCTAGCAAGGGGTAGCTCTTGGCCCATCAAAAGAGAGTGTTGGATTCTTATGCTTTAGTGTTCTATGCCATTAATAACTAATCCCACAACCATTGCAACTTGAATTCACAACAACAGCAATCATATATCTGAAAGCCCCATAGTGCTCATACTACTTGGTGAGTTCCATATATTGACAAACAAAGACTTCCCGCTTGACTCGTACAAACATCCCCCATCACGCATGCTTTACTTCCCCCCACCAACTCTATGATCGATGATCAAATTAAGGCTTAAAAGCTAAAGGTTAAACCAAGCATGAACAGAAAGTAGATACTTGTCATTGCATCAAACGCATATAGTAAAGAATTTATTAAAAGATATATCATGAATCAACTGAATAAGAGAGAAGGGAAAAGAGTTACCTCTTGAAGCAGGTTCAAAGAACACGAACCCCAACAAAATCGGCAGCATCTCCACCAATCAAAGCTTTCTCAAGCTTTTCTAAAACGGAACATAGAACCCTAAAAGACCTCAAGCAAACACAAGATGAACAAAACAGAGAAAATCCAACCAAAGAGATTAGAGGAAATTTTGGCAGCACCTCCCCCTCTCCCGATTTTTTTGCCAACCTCAAAACCTTCCCCCAAGAGGGGTTTTATAGCCAGAGGAGGATGAGAGCTTACGTTGGCTTACCGAGGGAGGGAACCGAATGCGACAAGCATGAGTAAGGTGGCGACAAGGAGCACAGAGGCGTGGGAGGGGAAAGCTGGAGCGCGGCAGAGGGAGCAATTGGAAGCTTTTCGCAGTGCACGGAGAAGGGGACCTCGAGGACAAAGCCGCGCAAAGAAGAGAAGTTCGCTAGAGCGAACTCGGCCCTAGGGTCTCACCTTGGCTGCGATCGAAGAAGGGGAGAAGGGGCGGGCTCAGCTAGGGCTCCCGATCAGGAGAAAAGGATCGGGTGTGTGAGTCGCGCCTGGGTCCCAAACAGGAGAAGGGGCAGACGGGTTAGTGAATTAGGGATTTAGGAATTTCAAAATAAGGATTTTTTTTTTCTTTACTTAAAAAGTGTCAAATTTTGTGCAATTTATTCATGTGCGGCGTCCTAGCAAAATGAGTGTCCTTCCTAACTAAAATTGACGTTCCGGACGCGACGACGCAGTCCGTTTCATCATCTAGGGTCATTCGAAGAACCTCGTCGACGATCAGGGCAAAAACGCGTCAAATTCGATTCTCGTCAAAATTTTGGTCCGCAATCGATTTTTTCAAAAATTTTATTTAAGTTTTCAACAAATAACAGTGCAAATGGTGTGAATTGTAGTGATCGAACGTGCCGACACATGCAAAACTTCAAAAGAGTAAAGAGGTAGCTCAAGCATGAGTAAAACAATGTTCCCATCTCTCTTAAGTTCAAGCACATGCAAAATACGTTTAAACACTGCCAGAGATTGGGGTGTGCACAAAAATCCCACTTACACTTTAATTTTTTAAATAAATAAAGGATAAAGTCTGAAAGCAGAAAAAGCCTCACATCCCGCACAGGAAGAGCATGTCAAGCACATCCTGCAGTAGCAAAAAGCAGCAAGCCTAGCCAAACTGTACGTCATAGACATCCTTTTTTAAAATAAATAGTGCCAATGAATCACAACATTAAAAGTTCATCCAATTTATGCTTTGATTGTGAATTTGGAACAATTTATCTTAGATTTTTCACCTATGTTTAAATTTCTTCCTCTCCATTCCCTAACAAGACAACACAACCAACTCCAACTAAAGCAAATGTTACAACTACAGATAGCATTCCATTAGGTTACCTGCTTGCCAAGGTATAGAAGACCAAGAGCTACAGGAAGCAAGCGAGTAAGGGGTTCACCCAATTCAGTTTCACTGCGCTCCATTATTGCCAAAATGATTGTTTGAGCGATATCTTCATTGCAGGAACCAACATGGACAAGCCCCAATGTAATGGCAGAAAATACAAGGACCTCCAGGGGTGACTTTGAATCTCCCAGAATGCTAGTAAGGCGGACTCTTAGCTGGCAAAGAGGAAACAGATCAACAAGGGCAAAAATAATAAAAATAAATAAATATAATTTTATAGGAGATGCCAAGGAATTCTACGTCATCTTTGTTTGTCCCGGCATATGCAATGCCAAGACCCAAAATTGCCCCAATTCTGATAATTGTATCATCTTTTTCAATGAAATCGCCTAAAAGGGCTAATGCCTGCAAAGCATAGTTGATAAACAAGAAGCAATTGAAAATGGGTGCATATGGCAAAATAATGTTAATGTACGTTAAGATCCAAGAAAGAATATATTGCATTGAGCATAATGATAGTAATAGAAGACATTAGAGAGAATAAGTTATAAAAGAGCATCGCTCATTTGAAAACACCATACAGGATCACAATCATTTCTGATGCCACAGTTGACAATGCCAACACCAAGCAAAGCTCCCGCAACAACATGATTATCATTGCTGTGAAGAAACTTGTCGAGTTGTACTAGACCAGAGTCAACATCCCACAACAAAATCATCCCCTACAAGAGGTAACAAAAACTCAAGTTTCACATAAAATATTAAAATGTAGAAAACTAGTTTTAAAATACGAAAGAGCATATAATACCAAACTTGCAACTGCACTGGCTTTTCCATGATCCTTATTTCTGAACAGCCAACCACTTGGTCCACTTAAGGAATCAGAGGGGACAGTCATCAATTTATCCTGTGGAAATAATAAGATCATACAGCTGAAAATTAAAGTGAGCCATTCCAGCACAGTCGTGCATTATTCTATCAGTGATTACCTGTCCAAAACCTGCATTCACAAATGCATTCACAAAAGTAGCAGCCAGATTCTGCCGGGCAGAGTCAAGGCTGGAACTTGCACTTGCTCGTCCATCAATCAAGTGTGCCTTACAGAAATGAAAATGTATATCAATCAAATTTACAGCATTCCAATGAATTAAACATGTGCTCATGCGCATACATAGCAGGCATGCTTTTTCCCGTATTTTACATCAAATGTCGGAGCTTCTTAATAATAAGCATAAATGAATTTACATTCTACAGTGAAAACTTCCTTTATAACTAGTGCTCGACTTTCTTAAAGCATACAGAAAATACAAAACAGCTGAGCATGAAATTTCTTTAACCAAGCATTCAACCCTGCAACAACTGAAATAAGCGTATTCCAGCATTTCCTAGAGGACTTGAAGCTGAAAAACGTTGAATGTGTTCAATGACTTAAATATCATATATATTACAAAAGGACAGCTCTATGAGCTCATGCAGATGCACTCTTCCATGCCAAAAAAGAAAAATTTACATCTGTTTCAACTAACAGAGAACTACCCCAACATCTTATCAAGCAAACACCACAAAAATGTACGTGAAGATAGACAATTATTATACCTTATATATGTCTTCTGGAGATTTTGGTTCCATAACCTCAATATCACGAGCAAGAGTCAGATAGCCTTCACTTAATTTACCATTGTTTGCAATATCTTGCAAGGCCTCTCTTTCCTTTTCATCTGGAACCCATTCTTCATCCAGCTCCAGTGCTAAACCCTAAATTCACAACCGTGGAATCAAGCATTAAAAGGTATTAAAAGATAATACAAATAAATAAATAATAAAAAGCTGCCATAATGACGGCAATATATTTTTATATGTTGATGAGCACAATAAGGAATGACTGGCATTCACAATCATCCAACTGCCTACATCTCACCATTTCAAATTAAGCAAAATAAATATATTCCCAATGGCACACAGTGTAAAATGTTGCAATTAGAAAATTTTTTTAAGTATGAATAATGATTTTGTGCATACTTACATGACGTGCACAAATGTAAGAGAATTGCTTCTTCAGTAGGGGGTCATTTGTCGATGTATATATTTGTTTGACATACTGCACACGATGAAACCAAGTATGATGGAACAAGAAGACTAAAAAACCACGCTCTATCTATTCTACTATGAAAGGTAGGAGCACAAAAGAGCAAATGAATGGAGATATTAACGTTTTCTATTTTAATATTTTTATTTTTTTCAATTAATGGACATATTGACGTTAAACCTGAATATTGTCCAGCAGAAGTGCAATCCGAAGAGAGCTTGCAAGATCTTCAAACTTCATATAAATTGTATATGCTATATCAAGTGCCAAAACGTCATCTGGACTCGGTAGGTAACTGCAGGGTTAAAAAGTCAAGGAAATATACTTTCACATGAATACAAAATCTTCTGCGCATGCTAGATGATAAAATTTTATTAAATTGAGAAAGATATTAAATTTCATCAAAAAATCCACGCAGAGTTAGTTGGGGATTCACTGAATGCATTAATCCCTTTATAAGTCTTTATTAAATTCACAAAAAACTGCATTTTTCCCTTTAGACTTTCTATCCCCGTTCGTGATTTTTTTTTTTTTTTTCAGGTCACTAGGATCATGTGTTTCTGTCCAAATGAAGGAACACGTAGCAAAATCTATGATAAACATTGGAAATGAAGAGTTTTATAATATGATAAAACATCTTCACGTGCAAGTCTCAAGTTATGAGAGATTTATACAGAAGTAATAAAGAAGCGTGACTCAAGACAATTTTGCATTTCTGCCAATGCACTAACCTGGAAGAACTGGTAAGGTATAAGCATGTTCTCTTGTAATTTGTAGAGTCAACATGTTCAACCAACAGATCAAGGTCTTCAACCTGGATTCAAAAAGAGAAATTGTTCAGTATCTATGCTTATGACTGTAGAAATTTTAAAGCATGCAATGTGAATTAAAGTATTTAGATGCCTCCATCAGAAGATCCACAGCTTCTGGCTCAGCATTGTGCTGCAAATAATTCGTAGAAAAGATCTAAATTAGTGCACAGGAAACAGGTAAGCAAGGCATGCATGCCATCAATATGTTGTGCTAACAGACTACCTTAAAAATAATATAAATGAAGTATACCTTCATGTGAAAAGCAACAATTTGTTGTACAAGCTCCATAAGGGCGTTTATGGGCAGGTCATCGTACTGCATTAAGAAAATGCAATGATTTTAGGGATAAAATGGAAGAAAGATAAGTGTGAAGACTAAAAAACAGACTTAACCAACAATTTTATGAGTCAACAGGACGAGAACCTACATGGATATGACATTTATTAGTCTTCATATAGTTCTATGAGAATGAATTACATATTGAAGCAAGCACTATTTTCAATACTACAACGTAATGAAAGGGGAAAGAAATGTGTTTATCCTTTTTCATATTGCATTAATTACTGAATGATAAGTAGGAGATAACATTAATGCCAACCAAAAAAACGGCATTCAATCTACGAGAGAAAAGCATGCAGAGGCTTCAATTCTTTAATAATTACATAAAATAAAGGCATTAAAATTTCAATTTAAGCTGACCGTGGAAGTTAAAGAGGCAAAACAAAGGTTATAATACCTATAAACTTTGATTCTCAAAACACGACAAACTTTCAAAAATAATGATTTCATATGATTCAAAATTAATGACAGCTAAATAATGACAAGTCTAGTTGAACTGGAAACTTGCAAACTGCTCTATAACTTATTAATTTAAATTTCCAATAACACAAACATAAAGGAAGAAATATACAACAACCAGAAAGGCTTCAAGACTCAAGATGTTAAGGGTCTATTTGGGACAGCTTTCTCTCTGCTATGCGTTTCAAACTTTAACTGTTCTGTTTGGGGAACTTTTTTTTTCTTTTTTTTTTTTTTTTTTTTGCAGCTTTCTAAAATTTTTTTGTGGAGGGAAACTATTTTGTTCAACCTGACCTGTTTATAGTACTATAAGAAGGTTGTTGTCTGGTTTTTGGAAAAAAAACATATATTTTAATTCCCACCGCAGCTTTCCAAGATGTTATTTTCTCTATCATAGCTTTACAACTACTTTTTAAAAAAACTACAGCCACCCAAATTGACCCTAAATGAGTTGAGCTAATTTGAAAATGAAAATGGTTGAACCCTGAAGAAATCTCAATTCATCATTTCAAGCCCAAATAAAGGATTTGTTTGGGTGGTTGTAGCTTTTTAAAGAAGTTGTTGTAAAGCTGTGGTAAAGAAAATAACTTCTTAGAAAGTTACGGTGGGAATTGAAAATTTATATTTTTTTCCAAGAAATCAAATAGAAATTTTCTTACATTCACAACCTTTTTAACGGGTCGGATTGAAAAAAAAGCTTCCCGACACAGAAATTTTAGAAATAATCAAGAAAGCAATTCTCCAAACAGAGTTATGATTGTGGTCGGAAACACAAGGAGACATGAAGCTGTCCAAAACAGTACCTAACTCCAAAATGCAAATTACAACCAGCAAGAAGAACAAGTTAAAGAAGAATCAGAAAGATGATGAAAAAATAAAAAATGACTCGCAACCCTCAGCTATCATGCTTTTATAAGTTCAGGCCTACCTGGCGTTTTGCAAACTCTTGTGAAATTTCTCCAGCAAGGTTCCTATTCACCAATCAAAAATTCAGAAAGAAAATGAATAACAGTTAGCTACTGCAACATAAAACCAAGGGAAATTTCAAGGAAAATTTTGTGCATTTAATAGAAGAAAATGTGTAAGAATATCAAGTTATCATTAAAAAGGATCTATCAGTCCAACCTTTTTTGTTAAGCCAGGAATATTACCATAAAAAATTAAATAAAGAGTTATAAAATACTGATGGAGTTGGTGTTCAAAGAAGATGCGAGAATGTGGAATCTAATGGTGGCAACTGTTGAACTCACAAGCCTTAGTGTATATCAAGCATGATGACTAGCTTATCAGTGACTTAATGATAACAAATCTCACATGTTGTCATTTAATGGTTTGCAAAGTGATTTACAAGCTAAATGATTGAGTAGGAACCATAGTGATGATGACCTTGTGCATTAGGGATGTTTGGAGATTTTGCACCTTAAAGTGAAGTTCAAGATGAAAAATTCATAAACACAAGAGTGCAAATGAAGATTCAAGGACAGATAGGCGAAGAAGAACAGCATAGTGTATTTGTTTATAAGCTAAGTGTTATCATTGAGTTTGTGGTTTATACTAGAAACTCAAAGATGAACACATAAATTAAATTTGATCAACATCATTTATTTCCAAATATATATTTTTATACAAAAAAAGTAATTAAATTAATTAGGTCTTAAATTAGAACACTTGTTACATTATTATATTGTTATGTACGTGGCCTATTTCAATGTTCACTATTGACTCCAAGGAATTTATGGGTCTCCACAAAATGTACAAGTTGTTTATAGGCTTCTCAAGCATCCTCATTCTTTGATATCATGGTCATGATCTCAATGATACATGCAATCCTTTTTGAAAGCACACAAGGGACCACTAGCTTTCATTGGAGCAAGCCCCTTGAATAAATTTTTCTTTTGAATGGTCTCTACTATTTCGGTCATTAAATCTCCCGAAGGAGTTGTGATAAATATGAGATGACTTGGAAATGGCGCCTCTTCTCCATTCTTCGATTGAACCATCTCCAAACAAACTCACACTCTGGAAAGACGATCTGGCTCCTTTCAAATTTCTTCTAGGACTAGGCGATCTCTATTTTCTTGTTGCTTTTTATGAAAGTCTTTCCTTATTCGGTGTAGTTGCTCCTTATTTATCGCCCCGAATGAGCTTGTTAAAACATTAATTGTTGGCAAGCTCTAACAGCTGGGTCAAGGTTCCGGGAAGTTGCATCCCTAAATTATAATCGAATGTACCTTCTGTTGGCCAGGAGCCAAAGCAGCATGAACGACTAATGGCTCCAAATCTCTCACATCTAACATCTCCCTCTGGAAACGGGTAACAAAACACCTCAATGACTCGTTTGGCTCCTAATGAATTCACACTAAGGCTACAAACTCTTCCACGGCTTTTGGGCACTTACAAATTGGGCAATGAAGATACACTTGAATTATTTGAAGGAAGAGATATCTCATGGTAGCAAGTGATTGAACCAGCAAAGGGTTTATTCCTTCAAAACTATAAAAAAAAATATGCCCTTCCAAGCATTTGTGATCCTCAATAGGCAAACAGCTGATTTGAACGAGGTTATGTGATCAGATGGATCATATATACCTTTATAAGACTTCAAGGACAAAATATTGAAATTTTTTTATGCTTCAACCTCCATTAGAGTTGTCAAAATGGCCCGTTGTTCGCGAACAGTTCGTGTTCGACTCGGTAAGAAGCTCATGTTTGATTCGTTCACTAAGTTAACAAAACAAGCACGAATAATTTTTTGCACTCGATATATACACGAGCAGAGCGCAAACAAAGATTTGATCATGTTCAGTTCGTACTCGGCTCGTTTTGGCTCAAATATTACTCATCAATTATATATATAATTGATCAGTAGTATTTTTTTAAAATCTAATTGACTACAATGCTACAAAGATTTATAACCAATTAAAATTATAAATTAAAAAAATTGGATAAAAATATATGAATTACATTTAAATGATATTTTTAATATAAATAATAAGATTTAAATCTTGCATCAACCCTTAATATTATACAGCTGTGTGACTAGGGTTAAACAATTTTTTGTTCACAAACAGCTCGTGTTTGGCCTGTTAAGCAAACGAGTTAAACACGAACACATTTTTATTGTTCGAAGTATAAACGAACTGAACACGAACAATAGTATTTTTTAACGAGTTGAACACGAGCTGAGCCTGGGCTCGCTCGTGCTCGGCTTGTTTAAACGGCTAGCCTCCATGGTTTCCTTGGATAATGTACTCTCCAATGGTTGCTTTCATTTCTCTTATACTTAGAAAGAAGAAAAATCTTCACCATCAAAATGATAAGTTATCATCATAGACGAGTGTAGTCGATGTAGATCTTCTCATTGGTAATCTTCTTCTCCAACCTACCGATACTAAAGAACTATTTGACATTTGGACTCTTTTAGTAACCCTAGGTATGTGCTTCAATGCCTCACCAATCATCTAGATTAATGGCTAAAAAAAAAAGTTACCCTGAAGGTATCACTCCTTATTAAAAGGTACAAATCGACTTCAAGGATAGTTATATAATTAGCTAGACAAATAAATAAAGAGTGTGTAATGTGTTATGCGACCAAGCATTGTCTGACTTATAAAGTGTATTAACGAGGTAAGTAGTTGAATTGCTTTAACATATTGGAAATCGACCTAAAGGCTCGGCCAAGTTGACATGAGTTGACTTGACTCCCTAACTTATGAGATTGCCTCAACGAATTGTTCTAATGAAGTTTGTTTAACACATGACATGTTGAGCGAGTCTAATGAGTTGGCTTAGTGAGTTGGTCTGCAAAACAAGCCTATCAAGTCGGATTGTCGAGCTCCTTCGATTGGCTACAATATCAACATACAATACCAACAATTTGATGTGGGTGCCCTCCATAATACCATGTACAAGGAATTTTACCATACATATTGGTAAGTGAGTTCACACTTTATATTGATCAAGAAGTTGAGGCTCCTGATTAGTCAAAACAAGCTAAAGAGTAACATGCCTCCTGGGTGAAGTTCCTGTTTTCATTTCATTTTATGCTCAGGCATAAAATATGAAACAAGAATAAAGTAGATGAAGCCCTGAGCCCTTCTTGATAACCACTATACAGTCGAAAGTAATTAGCTTTGAAATATTGAAGGATGTGTATACCACTAATAAGAATTTTCAAGAGATTTGGTTTTCTCATTATGATAGATCGAATGAGCAATTCCACGGATACTAATTGTTTTATAAAAATAAACTATGCATTATTAGAAATTCATTCATAAGCTATTTTCCAGAAGTACCACAATAAAAGAATAGTTGGAAATTTTAGAAGAGACAAGACTTTTTCTTTCGCGAAAGAGAACTTATATTGGCCTAGATTGGTACGAAATGTGAAAAGGCATATTCTATAGTATAGAATTTGTCATGTAACCAAGACCACATCGCAATATATAGATCTATACACCCCCCTTCTTGTACCAAAGTCACGGTGGATCGATTTGAGCATAGATTTCATTGTGGGCCTCCCTTAAACCCAACACAATAAGGATGCAATTATGGTGCATATTGACTGTTTTTCCAAGATGGCACATTTGTATCCTGTCACAATACGGTGGGGGTTTCACATATTGTAGATTTATATTTTAGGGAGATAATCCTTCCAGTGTACCTCAGACCATCATTTGTGATGGAGATGTGAAATTTTTAAGTCATTTTTGGAGAATTTTACAGGGTAATTTGTGTATCAAATTATAATCTTGTTCAGCAACGCACCCCAAACAAATGGGCAAACAATAAATCAAAGTTTGAGAAGCCACTTTTGATGATTTGTGTAAGCAAAAATATTAGGCAATGGCACTTGATTCTTCCTCAAGTTATGCATCAAATTATACTTCAGTTCAGTTGCACACCCCAGACAAATGAGCAAACGAAAATGATAAATTAGAGTTTGAAAAACCCTCTTTGGCCTAAGCAAGAAAATTAAGCAAATGGGACTTAAATATTTTTTGGGTCAGGTTTGCTTACAGCCAGTTTGCTAGAATTAATGATTGTACTTCTGACTATTGAGCTTAGGACTTATGCAAAGACTAAAGTCAAAGAGATTCAGTCCCTACATCAAGTAAGGAAGGCAATTATCAAACAAAAAATCAAGTATCAAAAGCAAGCTAACAAACCCAAACAAAAAATGATTTTCTAATATTGTGACGATGGATTAGGCTAAAAAATGAGATGTTTCCTACATAGTCATTTAAAAAGTTCAAGCCTAAAGTCGATGATTCATTTAGGATTGTTAAGAAGATTAATGATATTGCACATAAGGTTAAACTTCCAGCATTGTTGACTTTTCATTATATTATAAGGATATAAGAGATTTCAATAAGGAAAGCAAACCCTCTCCTACATGGGAGAATAATGTAGGCATCCGCTTGTGATTTCGCCACAAGGTGAACCCCAAAAACGTGAAGCGGTCCAAGAGAGATAGGTTCAAGCTATTCCAACTCCCATGGGCTAGCTAAGGCCCCAAGGGGATCCTATTTACCTTATTTAAATTATTTTTATGGTTAGTTTTGCTTTGAGGCATAAATATATTATTAATTCTTTATTTTAGCACTTTTTTTGGATTTTTGATTTATGCAATAAGATTGTTTTCTCTAGTTCTTCCTCACAAGCATGCTATATCTTTTATCTTTCTTAGGTGATGTGTCTATAGTCAGATTGGATCAAAGTGAAAACCTCTCTTGAACAACCGAAGACCTCTTAAACTATTGGTTTCACAGCAAACCTATAATTTCTCGATTCTGGCTAGCTATCCAACCACCGAGAACCTTGATTTCTCAACTGCGAAGCAGCCCGATTTCTCAGATGGCATCAACTTTTCACCCTCCTTTCTCATTTACAACACACCTAATCTCTCTATTAATCACCCGACGTAGTCTAGTAACTCTTGATTGGTAACACGATCATTTCTCATCCTACA